AAATATGAGGAAAAAATTAAGGAAAATTTAAATAGCTGTGAAAATATGTTGATGTGTTGAGTGGAAGTGGAATAGTAATAAGGGGAAAAGAAGATTGTGGATGTTTGGTGTAAAAGAAGTGAATAAAAGAATATGTGGGGGAAGAGGGGGGAAATTTTAAAGAAACTTTGACCGGGGACAAATAATGGAATTTTACTCAAGTCATTTGAGGATATTTAAGTGTCCTCGCAATATGTGGTATATAATGATTTCTGGTAATATGGCTAGTGGGCACTTGGAATCGACTCTTACAATGTCAATTTTCTTTAAATTGGCATTCCTTTTAGACTTTTGAGAAAGAATCAGAGAAATAAAAATCGTAAATTTTTTGTGGGTTTGTTGTTTGTTTGTGTTGTTTGGGCATTGGTTGGACATAGAATAACATTATTTGTGGACTTTAGAAGTAAATTGCTGCAACCAACCTAACAATCCAGTATTCAAAACGCAGTTGCCATGATCAAGTGAACCAGTACCTATAAGGTGTGGTTGAAGAGCTCCTGAAACAGGAAGGGACAAAGGCTGAGTCAGTTGGCATCTACCAGTGGTTCTCAACCTGTGGGTCCCCAGGTGTTTTGGCCTCAACTCCCAGAAATCCCAGCCAGTTTACCAGCTGTGAAGATTTCTGGGAATTGAAGACCAAAACATCTGGGGACCCACAGGTTGAGAACCACTGTTCTAAACTGTGATCTCCTCCCTCTTTCTCGTTCCCTGGAATCATACCTTTGTGTGGTAGAGAACTAATGCCTTCACACTTTGCTTATGAGCTTCTCAGGCCCCTTCTACATTGCCATATAATCCAGATTATCAAATCAGATAATCCACATTATTTGCTCTGAACTGGATTATACGAGTCTACATTGCCATATATATATATATATATATATATAATCCAGTTCAAATCAGATAATCTGGATTTTATATGGCAGTTTAGAAGGGGACTCAGAAACGTAAAGAACTGACATAACATATTCATTATCTCTTATCTGAGTTGCTTAGAACCTAAAGTGTGTGGGATGTTGGATATCTGAATATCTATCTATATTTCCCCTCTTTCTTTTCCAGCATAGACATCTACTATTTGCCTGTAACTTTTGCTGATTCAATTACAAGCCTGTCTAATAACTCAATTATGGCATGGATTACATTTATCTGAAGGTGGAAAAAGTGACTACAGTTTTGCCAACATCTAGTGAAGTTTGTAGACTGCTAATTTCACATTGAGA